ACACTCATCCCGATTGCCCCAGTCACTGAATCAATCCATCTTCCAGAGGGCCTTCCCTTCCTGCGCCTGCCCTCCACCCTCCCAAGCATGATGTCCCTCTCCAAGGACCTCCTTACAACATGATCAAAGCATGGCAGATGAAGCCTCAGAATCTTTGCCTCCAAGTAGCAGCCTGGTTTAACCCTCTACAGGATGAATCTGTTTTATTAGCAGTCCATGGCACTCTCAGCACTCTTCTCCAACACCAAAGCTCAAAAGCATCAATTCTCCTTCTATCTTCCCTGGTCACTGTCCAGCTCTCTGATGCATAACAAGTGACTGCAAAGATCATGGCCTGTACCAGACGCACCTTAGTCTCCAGAGACACATCGTTGCTCTTGAGTACTTTAAAGAGGTCCCTAATAGCACACTTTCCCATCGCAATACGTCTTTTAATTTCCTGGCTGCTGGTGCCAAGAGTGTTGATTGTGGAGCTGAGCAAACTAAAGCTGTGAACAATCATGGCCGATTTAAATATCTTTTCAGATGGCTCAGAATTTTTCTCATTCAGATATTCAAATCTTATTATATTCCTTATTGCAGACATTTTATCAGCAGTTGTTAAGTAACATTGCAGCCCAGCATTATAAAGAAAAAGTGTACAGCTTTATTTCAAATCAGGTAAGCATCAACTGAAACCACTCATAGTGCTCTTCTGTCAAACTGCATCGTGCATTACTGTTACTATATGAGTGCCCATTAAGCTTGCGAGGCTGTTCATTGGTATGGCATACATGTGCTGTGATACTAACTTACAGAATGTCCACAAGGGACCAAGCATGCTTTAAACCCTTTACATATACAAGATCATTTACTCTTCCCTTACTTAGATGTAAATAATATTCATTTTCTTTTTAGGAGAGTATAAATAAGTAGATCAGTGTTTCACAGAATATTTTTAGAAAGGGCAGCAACATTCATATGTTATCTAGAATCCCTATCACTCTTGCCTAGTAGGCATCATTATCTTGACTTTATAGGAAAAAAGAAAAGCTAAGGACCAGTAAATTGTCATTTTACTTACCTACTATAACAACAAACAACAACAACACTGTAACAGAAAATGCAGAGAGAGAACCCCAAATACTAACCTCCTACCACTTTCTACCACACCAAACAACTTTTCATTTGTCCTCTCCTTGTTTATAAACTCTCCCTCAAACTTATTTCTGTCAAGTTTGAACTGACTCATAGCCAACTCTTCTACAAGTTTCTGGAGGCTGCAAATTGCTTGGGAAGATATCACCCATCTTTCACATAGCAACGGGTGGATTCAAACTGCCAGAATGGCATGGCTTTTGAGTTAGCAGCATATGTCCCTATGGGCTGTGCCACTATTGACGCCTTTGAGCTGTGGTGCTGGAGAAGAGTATTGAATGTACCCTGGACTGCCAAGAAAACAAACAGATTCATCGTACAGAGGATTAAACCAGGCTGCTCCTTGGAGGCAAGGATTCTGGGGCTTC